CAGAAAGCCTGACAACGTCCAAGAAGACCAGGGAGCCTCCAAAGTCAGGAGATGAGGCCCCGGCACACCCACCTGGCAGCTCCAGCTCTACTTGCCACTCCTCTACTAACAGGTGCCAGTAAAAGAGTATTCCTGATCAGACTAACAGAGAATGTCAAAAATAAAAAGGGTCTGGGGCAGAGGTCTGCAATCCCAGCATTTAGGAGGCTGAGGCAAGGAGGATGGCTGCACGTTGAGGCCAGCCTGGGCTAGAAAGTGAGGTCAAGGCAAGCCTACATTACATAGTGAAACCCTGTCTTAAAAAGACTAACTAAATAAAGAAATAAAAATTTAAAAAATACAAAGGGCTTTTAGCTAAGAATTAACAAATATTCAAAGAATGCTAACTCCAAGAGAGTTAATATGCTCAACAAATGGAAGACCTATAAATAGAAGAACTGACAAAAAGAACAATCAACTCATGGCTTTTAGATATATACAATTTATATTCTCTGAAAGATTTAAGTGGCTATTATGTCCATGAAAAAATAATCACCTATATAGCTGAAGATTATAAAGTTGGACTATTACACGAAAAACTCAACAGCTAGGCCAAAGAGCAGAATGAGCACCAGTGCAGAATAAATTAAAACAGGAAGACTGAGTTCAGGAATTCTTTGGAAAATAGCGCAAAAGGACAAAGAGATGGAAAGGATATATATTAACATGGTAGCAGATTTAGGAGTTCTTATATTCATGTAACAAGAATTTTACAGTAAGAGAACACAAAGAACAAATCTCAAAGACTACTCAAAGACAGCAATAAAAAAGTACAATTTCTTAGGACTTAAGAAACTCAAACATTTTCAGATTAAGCATGTAATAAAAGCATAGCAACACACACACAAAGAAGACCCATGTCTTCATCAAATTCTTGACTATTCCTCGACCCTAAGTCTCAAATGTTTCCAGCACAAAAGAAAACTAGACAAAAATCGGTCATCTTATAAAGGAATAAAATTCAGATTAGCCTCAGGTTTTACAGACAATAATGAATACCAAACAACAGATCTGCATATTCTGTCACACAATAGCTAAAAGGTGAAAACAGCTAAATATCAATCAACAGATAAATGAACAAACAAAATGTGATATACATGTATAAGGAATATTCAGCTATGCCTTAACAAGAAATGAGATTCTGATACATGGATGAGCCTCAGAAATATTAAGTGAAATAAGCTAAAAACAAAAAACAAATAATTGTTTGATTCTACTTATATGAGTGAGCAAGAACAGGAAAATTACTGCAGAAAATACATGGAAAGAACTGTATGCATTTTACTATGTAAACTGGAAGAAAATATAAATAAAGTTTAGACTATTAAAAAAAAAAAAAAGACCAGGAAAATTCAGGGGTAGAAAAGTGGAACAGAGCTTACCAGGGACTAGGAAGAGGAGAATATGGTAATTTAATATTTAATGTGTATCTACTCTGTTTAGGATGATGAAATGAGATCTCAAAAGAGGTAACGGTGATGTTTGAATATTATGAATGTACTTAATACCACTGAATTATATATTTAAAGATGGCTGACACAGGGCTAAGGAGTGCAGTTAAATGACAAAGCACATGTTTTGCCTTCATAAAATCATGGTTTCAGTCCTAGGTACCAAACGAATAAAAATAGAATAATAAATCTTGTTACAATTTAAAAAATTTTTTAAATGTGGGAAATATGACAAATTATCATAGGAGAAATTGAAAAGTTAGTCAAAGATCTGCCTGATATGATAGGCAAGATCCACCCATATCTGAGACGGTATTAATATCTAAAATATATAGAGAATTCCTACAAATCAATAGGAAAGGGATTAAACAACTCAGTATACAAATAGACTGTCATGGTTTATGTCAGTGGCCCCCAGGCCTCATGTGATTGTGCATTTGTGATTGGTTCATTGTCTAGTACTTGGATTGATGGTGTCAATGTAATGGCAGGAAGAAAAGTGCGTCTCTCTCTCTTGCCAGTTTTTGCCTTGCTGTTTGCAGCCACCATAAACTGTGGCCCCACCATGCCACCCTGCCTTGGAGCCAACCGAGTGTGGATTAAAACCTCCAAAAACTGTAAGGAAAAAAAACCTTTTTTCCCCCCAATTTGGTATTTTGTCTCAGCAACAAGTAAAAAGTAACTAAGACAGAATTTGGCACTGAGAGTGGAGTCATTGCTGTGACTATACCTGACCATATTTTTCGAGAAGCTTTGGAAATGGCTTTTGGGAAGAGTTTGGAAAGGTTCGGACATGTCACCTGGATGCACAGAGCTGGAGCAGCTTAGGCTGTTCTGTAGAAGAGATTCTGGTCAGAGCTCAGGAGACCAGAAGGCTGATAGAAAGCCTGATGGTAAAGACCAGGGGATCTTTACCTCCTGGTCTTTACCTTGGGAGGTTTCTGCTGGGAAGAAGGACTGCATTGGTTGTTGGACTTCCCATGATGTGTGTTATGGCTTGGCAGAAAGTTTGTCTGCAATTTGCTCATGCCCAGAGACTTTGCCTGAGACTGAGATTAAAGAGATTGGACTGATTAATCTGGCAAAGGCAATTTCAAGGCAGTCGAATGTTGAGGCTGTGGCATGACTATTGTTGAGGGCTTTTAGCCAGCTATATGTTGCAAATCAAGAGCAAAGAGCCCAGCAGGATAATTTAAAATGCTGTCAGTTTGGCCAAAAGGAAAACTCCAGTGAAGCTGTTGATTATAAAGACAGAGCTGAAACTTGATTGCTGAGAAGGAACACACTAAAAATAAAGATGGCCAGGGGGCACCCCAGGAAGCAGTGGGTCTCCATCCTTTGCAGCCTCAAAACTGCAAAAGTGAAAGAATTTGCTCATAGAATTTGTTCAGAGCACCATTCTTCAAAATGGTGACAGAGGCCACATAAGGTCTCCAAATGGCAGTAGCCGCATGTGGTTCCAGAATGGTGGCAACATAAAGAAGCTTTTCTATACAATCAGGCTCACAGAGCCCAGCGATCCAGGCACTGGACCCCTGCCTCAGAGCCAACTGAGTATGGACTGAAACCTCCAAAAACTGTAAGAAATAAACCTTTTTTTTTCTTTTTTCCAACTTTGGGCATGAGGCATTTTGTCTCAGTGACAAGTAAAAAGTAACTACGATATAAACCAAGGATAAAAGCAGGTATTCACAGCAAAAAACATAAAAAGCTAATCATCAAATAAAAAGAATACTAATCTCACTACTTACCAAGGAAATGCAAGTTAAAGGAAGTATTATTTTTTTCTTGCATAAGATTGAAAAAAATTAAAACTGACAGTATCAAATGTTGAGGCTAGAAAAAATGGGTACTCATGTACTATATTGAGGGTACTATAAATATACAAAAAAATTTTGGAAGACAAATGGATAGTAGTCATTAAAATTTTAATGTACACAATCCTATAATCCAGAAATATCTGCATATGAGAAAAGGAGTGTATTTTAAAAACAATCTAACGTTTTAAAAATGGTTAAATAATCTGTGCTGTGTTACATCATGAAATTCTATGCATGGAATGAGGTGGGTCTACAAAAACTGATACAGAAAACTCTAAAATTCACCACTAGGTTGAAAACAAAAATCAGGTTTCAAAATTAAATATATGGTGTGAAAGCATCTATTAAAAATAAAATTAAGCAAAACAAAATTGCACACCAGAGCTACAGATTTATGAAAACGTCTAGATAAAACGGGGGAATATCCATTAAATTGGTTAAGGTCTCTACCTCTAGGAAGAGCAATGGGATTTTGAGTGTAGCTGAAGGGAATTAAAGTGTTACCTTATATTACTTTTCAAATTTAAAAAAGTATACATTACTTAAATAATTAAAAATAGGAAAAAATAGAACTTACAGCAATCAGACCTTACTAAGAAGACAGAATTGAAAACAACACTGCGAAAGGCCTCCCCTTCACCTCTCTGCTGTGAGAAGGACTAGGATTTGCCAATCGTGGTCATCTCCACCTTCAGGTTCTCCCTGCTGCTATTTCTAATAGAAAAGGCACTGAATCTACCACATCTAGCCTTCCTTTAGAATCATCATCTCCCTAGTCTCTAAGCATCTGCCTTTCTTTCCATTGGATCTGAACCCAAGGTTAAAAACTCTAAACTGGCAGGAAGGAAAGGATAAGGTTGGAGCAAAAATCACCATTTTGCCATATCTGAAGGTGTCCTGGCACAGCAGATTTTCTAAAAGTTGCCATAGCAATATCTTCCTTCCCATGTACTCTTTTTATCAATGTTACTCTGATATTCTTCCTTCCTGAATTTTGCCAGTTGTGACTACAGCAGAAATCTTGCTTATGTGACTTCTATGGTTAAGTTATTTGGAACCCGGGCACCTTACTATGAGGAACCCAAGTAACCCATGGAGGTCAACTACAGACCCCAGTCCACCACCAGCTGAGCTCCCAGCTGACAGTGAGCACTAATGTGTGGACACGACAGTGAGCCAAGGACTCCTCTGGCCCCTCTTAAAGTTGCTTCAGTTGATGCTCAATAGAGCAGAGATGTATGGCTTCTGGTGCATAATGAACCAGCTCAATTTTCATGAGCAAAGTAACTGTTTTTAGCCAATAAGTTTTATGGTGATTTCTTTTTTTTTTTTTTTTTTTGTCTTTTTCCTTTTTATTGGTACCGGGGATCAAACTCACGACTACCTGTTTGCCATGCAGGTGCTTATGCCGCTGAGCTAAATCCCCAGCCCCTTATGGTGATTTCTTAAATGGAAATGATTAAGATAGCTGAGGTTGTCCATATACACAAAAGCAACTACCTAATGTGGAGATTTTCAGAAGCGAGGCTAGGATGTTGTAGGGGGATTCCTGAGTCAAACAGTTAGAGCAGATAATATCAGAGGTTGCTTCCAACAATAAAATTATACAACAAACGTGCTGAGCTCAGGGATTAAGCCCGTCATAGCACCACCTCTTCCGAGGGGAAGGTCACCTCCAATGACATCGCACCTTTCAGAAAGCTGCCGGATCTGTGGGATTCCCATATACTTGTGGAAGTGCTCCAGAACATTCATTACACCCTGAAGGAGATTAGCAACTTCTCCATACTGTCTGCGTCTGGTCATGGCTCTGCAAAGAAACAAGAAGTTGAAAACTAATAAAATACTAAGGACAAAAGATATAGATGTGGAATAACTTACTCCACCTCTGAGACAGACATGAACTTACTTTAATAAACATTTACCAAGGACAGAATATGAATGATGCCTTGCACTGGCTGGGGGACCTGACTCAAATTCCCAAGGTGACATCATTTGATAGTCAGATATGTATCTATCTAATAGTGAGCAGAGTGGGTTAACTTCTGCATGAAGTACAGTGTAGGTTACATGGTATGAGGTGTACAAAAGAATGTGAGTGATGGAGTTTTACTGAGTGGGGAAGAGGAATCTGGGAAGCTGAGGCACCCTGGGAAGACACCACAAAGCTCTTTTTCTTTATGGAATTCCCTTACTACCGTCCTCAACCCAGAGTTTACGATGCTTACTCGAGGGAATCGACGCCACCCGCCAGCATGTGCAGGTGGTTCAGTGTCGTGATGGAAGTGGTCAAGTGGCGTTTGGCATGGTCTAGCTGCTTAATGTCACGGGTGATTTCCTTTACCTAAATATTGAAAACAACAGAACAAAAAAGAGGAAGGATAAGAACGATACGCATCTTTCTGCAAGTAGCTCCACATGAAAGTAATGCACAGGAAGCAAGAAAAAAGCCTCAGATTAAGCCTTGGAGAAAACACAAATATTCTCACAATGCAAAATCAACATAATTTCCAGGCAGCCCCTTTCTGTTTAATTTTTCCATTTCTTCACACTTCATACAAGGTTACAAAATCCTCAGGTGTAAGAAATAAATTAACTTTTATTTTTCACTCTCAATGGAATGATCCAAACTGCAATGTAGTAATGAGCAAAGCCATTTTGAATAAGGTCTAAAAAGTGTGCCTGCTGCCACTTATGCTACAGGATTCAATACAAAATGGATAATATTAGTCAACTAATTGTATTGAGATGACCTTTGTTAATGAAACTCTGATTTACTGCTCAGCCTCCAGGAAACAAAAACCTTCCCTAAAATCTCTAGAAGATCAAAATGTAACTCCTGTAACATAAATTTGGCATACATCATAAGATCAGAGGTGCAATCTTCTTCTAGTGAGAAGATAATGTGAGGAGTAAAATTCTTTTTTTTTTTTTTGTCTTTTTCGTTTTTATCGGTACCAGGGATCGAACTCACGACTGCCTGCTTGCAAGGCAGGCACTTATGCCGCTGAGCTAAATCCCCAGCCCCTGAGGAGTAAAATTCTGACAATATTACTTCAGTAGATCCAGAACACAAGTCCAACTGGGGATGCCACTGTTTCAGTCCCTGGAAAACCTGGAAAAGTGGATCCAATAGAGAAGATGGAAAAGCCCTGCAATATTACTGATACTCTTTTGGTGAGCTCTTTCACTATCCTGAGTCTATGATGATCAAAAAATTCTAATAGCAGCTTGATTTCTCAAGTTCTCTGAAAACTGGAAGAAAATGCCCTGGACCTAGGCCCAAATATTCTAGTCACTATACATGCATCCACCCTTAAAGTGCAAAATCCAATAGAGAGTTAGCTGACATGAACTGATTTTTCAGCCTGATGACTTTGGGTAAAATAAGGACTACGACTGGCACAACTCCATGCCCACAAACCCACAAACCAGCAAACTGGTCCTGGATCTTAGCAGTAAAATTTCTCTTTCTCAGGGAATGCCCCATCAAATCCACCTTTACTCATAACCCTCAGGTTATACAACTACTTCTATTTTCATTACCAAAAAAAAAAAGGTTAAGAATCTACCACTACTCTACTGAATAACTGAGCTTGGAGTTAAAAAAAAAAAAAAGATCAAGAATGGTATAAAAGAGTAGAAATAGAAATCTGACTCCATAATCTGATCACTCACTTTCAAAAATTAAATCCTTATTTTATTTCCCACAGAAAAATCCCTCTTCTTGGTTCCACAGCTTCAGACCTAGCAAAGCTTTTGCCACTGTGTTTAAAGTCACAGTCACCTATACTTCTCATTCATCTGTCAGATCTTGTTATTATTTTCATCAGTCAAATCTCAAATACTTTTCCTCTACTGGATCTTAAGATCTTGTCTCTCTGTTCCACCCCTCGCACATGCCCTCACTGCTCTGTACCAGATCACTGGTCTTTTCTTTTCCTAGATCTCCCATCATTTTCATCACATATCCTATGCTACCTTAGACAAATCAAACTACTTGCTATTCCCCCAAAAAACCTTTAATGGTAGAGCATGTAAGAGGTACTATATTGTACAAGAGCAGACGATTCCAGAAAACAAATTACTCACAGTTAATTTACTTTAACTGTTACCCATGGGCATTAAAAAAAATGACAGGTGATATGGTAGGTTTGGTTGAAGTCAGACAGACCCTCAGGCTGAACCCCAGCTCTTCCAATTACCTACTCTGCGTCATAGGCCAAGTTCCTTAGCCTCATCAGCTCTGCTTCTTCATGGATGAAACAGACAATAATCATAAAAATAATGACACTAAAGCATAGTCCATAGGGTCATCAGAAAGGGGAACCCTGGCTTGACACCCTGCTTGGCCCACTGAAAGAGCTCAGGAAACACCAGATCTCACTTTAGTATTTCCTCTCTCTTTTAACAAAAACACTGTCCAGGGAAGAAAATTTCTTTTAAATAAGTCAACCAATAACTTCAGAAGCAGCTTCTTAGAACTGTCTTTGCACACTCCCACAGCCAGGATGGAAGAAGGAACATAGTCCAGAGCAGTAGTTTAGAACTGTAAAGTTAATGTGAGTACAATGGACTCTTGCAAAAGTCACACCGGATAGCGTCACTTGATAATCACTCAGCATCTGCTCTTGGTTGGTGCTGAATGCAGGGCATCGTTAGGGAATTACTACAAATCTAAATCCTAGTACTCTGCTCAGTACTCTTATACATTTAATTCTCATAACAATTCTGTGAGGTCAACGCTCACATTCCTGTTTCATAGTTGAAGAAGCTGGAAGCATTACATTACAGAATTTCAACTTAGGAGCCTGCACATCCCAGAGCCCCATGAAGTAGTAGTGGTGAATGCTGGTTTCCTGGTCAGCAGGGCGGCCTATGGGAATGTCCCCAGTGGCCACAAATTTGTAGAGTGAAAAACTAATCAAAACCATATGCATGTGTCCTAGTCAGGGTAGATGCTACCATTCAGACCCAGGGCTTATTTCACTGTGCTACCAAATTACATGTCATGTATCTTAATTGAGAAATACATGCTATAATCAAACACTAAAGGAAGGCACCCAAAATGACTAGGAAAGTATTTCTGGGGAGAAAAAAAGAAAAAACTTTTCCTACTTAAAAGCAGGACTGCAAATGTAGGACAGCGGGGATGGTGAGTCACCCTTGTCCAGCAGCTCTCCTTGAATCAATCTGGAACGTACTCGCAGAGGCTTGCCTGAGAGATGTGGATGGTTGTGGTTGGCAGGAAGTGGGAGGAAAAAGTCCATTAATTACTATGTCTGGATGAGAAGCTGACTTCCTTTTTTGGTACAAAAAAAGTAAGGAAGAAACCTAAACTCACCATTTGCTCTGATTTTTCTGCTTTGTCTTTGATATCTTTGATTTTGCCAAAGAGCTGTTGAATAGCTTTCTGGGCCTCTTCAAGTGCCTAGAGTTAGAGAAATAAATGAAACACAAGAAGTCATGCAGGGCACTACCGTCACTACACTCTAATAAATTCTAGCTTTAGAAGATAATTATCTAAAGCTCTTTTGATTCATTGTAATTAAACTGACAATTTTACTGTACCAAACTAGAAGAAAAATAGAATATAGCATTCAGAAATAGGCAAACAGAATGTTTACCAACCTACATCATAAAGTTAATTTAAAAACTAAACTATTTCTGTCTTGGTGATTACTATCCATGTTATTGTTGACAATAAACAGAACATGCACACCTGTGCGTATGGGTACTACACATGTGCATGTGTATATACATAGTAACCTTTAAAGTCTGTAAAGAGAGAGAGAGATTCTAAGTTAGCTGCAGGGGAAGCTCTGATTTGGAAGTTCCAAAAGACAGTAAAAAAACAAACAAACAAACAAACACCTCTCCCAAAAAACAAACAAACAAAAAACCCAGCACTGTATATAAGAACTCCACAACTGTGGCAAATCTTAATGACTCTTATAATGTCCTATTTGCAAACCAATGAAATGAAGTCAGAAAGTTACATTTGAAGCTAAAATTGTGGGCCAAATGTTTCTATGGAAATAAAAACCCACCAAGATGGGTGTTACATGTTTAAAGTATTACAATCTACTGCATCTTCTGTGAGGAGATGCAGCAATGGGAGAAGAGTGTGAAGGGTGCTAAATCTACACACATGCAAAACACATGTACTTCATGGTTCTATGACTGAAATGACCATCAGCTGAACCAGTGCTCTGAATTCCTTGGCCATTAGAGTGCCAGTCACATCAGTCAGCATTCATTGACTCCTTCACTCACCCAACAAGCACATCCTAAATACCTCCCATACACCAGGGAAGAGAAGGGGGTCAGGGATGAGCTCTTGGGCGTTCAACATTCAGAAGGATAAAGTAAAAGGAAGAAATAAAATGCAAGAGAAAAACCACTGGCCACTTGAGAGAAAACTAAGGGCTCCAAGGACTATGATGTTACAGAGACAAACAAGTGTCTGAATGAGGGAAAAAGTGAACAACAGTTCACACAAAATTAAGCCAGAGAATTGCCAGTGACTAAGGGAAGTTGTTGATGATCTTGACAAGAACAGTTTCAGTGAAGTTGGAGGAATCAAAGTAGACAGCAATGACAGATGAAGTAAAGACAATGACAGAAAGCAGGGGCCACCAAATGACACCCAGGCAAATCCAATATGCTACCTGTTTATGTAAATTACAGAGTTTGGGGGGATTTGAGAGGTGGCACAGCCTAACTCATTCATTTAGGTATTATCTATGGCTACATTCTCATAAAATGACAGCGAGGCATGTTGCAGTACAGACTATATAGCCCATTAAGACTAAAATTGAGCAGAGATACAGCTTAGTGGCATAGTACCTGCCTGGCAAGTACAAGGTCCTGGGTTTGATTCCCAGTACCAAAAAAAAAAAAAAAAAAACCTAAAATATTTACTAGAGGCCATTAGAAAAAATTTGTTGACTTCCACTATAGAGCATTTTTTCAATAAGTTTTTGTTGTTACAGACAAGAAAATGGGACAAAAGATGGGGTAAAGGGAGGACTTTTTAAAGATGAGACATACGTCTTTTATAAACCAGTAGAGAAGACTTTTGAAAATAAGGCGCTTGCATTGTGGAGGTTTTTTTTTTTTTTTTTTTTTTTTTTTTTGTCTTTTTGTGGTTTTTATCGGTACCAGGGATCGAATTCACGACTGCCTGCTTGCAAGGCAGGCGCTTATGCCACTGAGCTAAACCCCCAGCCCCTTTTCTTGGTCTTTTTGAGACAGGGTCTCGCTATGCAGTTCTGGTTGACCTTGAATTTGCAACAATCCTCCTGTCTCAGCCTCTCGTGTGCTGGGATTACAGGCATGTGCCACCCTGCCCAGTGGTTCTTGCATTGTTACTGTGTAAGTATTAGCTGTACAATATGGTCATATGCATCCTTTAGAGTGTGGAGCAAGGACACAAATGGCTTTCTCATGTGCATCACAGTTAAGGCACTAGTTGCTCTGCATTAGCCTGGACAGTCCTAGTGTATGGTATTGTCTCAGTATAATTATTAATAGCTCTCTCTCTTGAGACATTACTCTGGTGGTAAGCTGTATGATCACCGTACCTACAGCATACACACAAAGCCAGGGCACACTCAGAATATGATTCTTTGCCGACTGATTAAAAATATCTCCGGACACACAGGAGTAGCAGTGCTAAGACTTCTGCTCTAATTGGGCATGCTGATATCCATCCTCTCTCAATTCTCCCTCCTCAGCCTTCCCAGTGTTAGGAATACAACCATGCATTACCACACCAGGCACACCACCCTTCTCATCACTATCCGCTTGGTTAATATGGAGTCTAATAACCAAGACGCTGCAATTAAAAACCCACCAGAGGATTCTGAAAACTGCTGGGTCACAGTGTGAAAAAGTACCACAGTGGCCTCACAAGCAACTGACTACTAGAAAGTGCCAACTTCTTGAGTGTGACTTGCGTGGGATTCTGTGATGTTGCAGGTCATCTCATGTTATGATGACGGGATTGCAGCCAACACCCTAAATATAGGACACTCAGAGAGAAAAGCAGAAAGGGCCAAGTTCCATACTTAGAGACAAGTGTGAAGAAGTGTGTGTGATCTTTTCACAGAGGAAGGGTTCCTACCCCTATTCTTCCCTTATTCTCAGTTTGGCCTTCCACCAGAACTGTCTCCATTACAAGTAGCACTTTTTTCTTCCAACAAACAAATAAGACTCACACCATCTTGCATTTTACAGACTTTAAGAAAGATAAATGCTCTGCAAGATTTTTTTTTTCAGGCTGCAACGTTTCTGCTTGTTATAACAATGCACTAAAATTGGTGAAATTTAATATAATTCATTTTCCAGAGTCAAAAAGGTTCTTGTGAAATATTCACTCTGCCAAGCAAGTCCATTCCTAAAACATATCCTAGTACTTGATATCAAACCTCAAATAATCAATAACACAGACAGAAGAGCACTTTGTAATTGGAAGGATCACAAGACTTACAAAAGAATAAGATTTCATTTTTAAAAGATACCAGAATACTACCTGGTTAATCAGAAAATATGGTAAAAGATTCTGACTAGACACTCTTTAAAATAAAATGTGGCTACTTTTCCATTCCACGCTGGATGTAGATTAAAAACAGAACTAATCACCCCAAAATGTCATTCAGTCTACCCCAAGTTTCCCCTCTCCCTGGAGCACTGGCCGTAGCAACCCACCAAATTAGCTTCCAAGACTAAGCAATTACAATATCTGGGTATTTCTGTGCATAATTAACTATAACTGTGACTCTTAATTTCCCTTGCCTCCTGAAGAAGACTGAAGAAGCTTTCAGAGTCACACTACGATATGTTCATAGATGATAAGCTGTATGGGAGCTGGCACAGACTCCACTGCTTTCTTTTCCCTTGGTTCCTTCCCCAGCCTCCTCCCTAACCCCAGACCTGCTGTCTGCCACCAGTGTAGACAGAAAGCCTGTGAGCCAATGAAAATGCTTGGAAAAATAAACACCCCTCTGCCCTAAGATGCATCTGTTTTGCAGTTTGGTCTGTCAGAGAATTATGCTGCCTTTATCCTGTACACCAACAGTCTTTTAGAGATTTTAAACAGAAATCTAATTTGCTGCCACTGCAGGAAGGCAGAAAGACTGTTCATTTTCAGAACTGGTATGACTTTAAATTGTTCTCTGAAAAAATAATGTGCTACTACTCAAAGTTATTAGGAAAAATTAGATTCTTTCTACCACTCTGCTATCACTTCTATTTTCTACATCTCAGTCTATTTACTGATTTCCCTAATATTATACTGGTTAAAATCAAAGAGTTTTTGAGCCAGCAGACAGGATGGGCTGGTCCTACCATTTAACTCTGATCTCTGGCAGGCCAGTTCACCTTTATGAGGATTGTTTCACAATTAACATTAACATCACTGCCTCAGACTTTTTGTTAAAAGGATCACAGGATCACGCAGTGACCATCTTTAGACTTACTGACCCAGTGTTCTTTTCCTTCAAATCTTCTCTTATCATGTTCTTACAAAGCCCACAAACCAAGGGGTACCCCAGACCCAAATTAGGCCAATGGAAGTTTTCCTATGTTTTCTCCAGAACTAGAATAGTTAAACACTTTGGTGTTGGGAGCCCTAAGATACAAGACTGAGAAAGAACAATAAAGTTCCCCAGGAAAGGGAAGAAGCTAATCTCAATGGAGAAATGATGCCAACCGAGAGAGAAACACAGAACCACATAGAGCACTATTCCAGTCCTGGGCTTTAGCTGACAAGCCTGGCTGGGATACTACTCTTCCCACCACCAGGCCGTTCAGCTTCCTTCAAAACAAGGTATAACAGGATTCTTCCAAACAATTCTTCCTTTTTGCTCAGAGTAGTTTAATTTGGGATCTTATCTTCATAAGCAAGAGAGTTCTGAGTGTACAAAAGCACCATACTAATGCAAGGGCAACTATTAAAATTATTCTCAGATGGAATACAGTATTTCGCATGAGACTATCTAAGAGTCAAAGGTTGTCACCCATCTATTTGTAAGACCCTTGTCAACAAACTTATAAAAGCCAGGAATGTTGGTATATATCTATAATCCCAGTCAATTGGGAAGTGGGAGCAGGAGAATCACAAATTTGACACTAGCCTGGGCAACTCAGCGAGACCCTGTCTCAAAATTAAAAAAGGGTTAGGATAACCTCAGGGCAAGGCCTTAGGTTCAATTCTCAAAAATCACAAAGAGAATAAAACTAAAAAGCAAAACAAAATAAAGAAAAGAAAAAAACAACAGTAAAGCTCCACAGCTACAGGCACAATCAAAGAGTGGCACATGGAACTGGGGCTGCAGGGCAATGAAAGAGTAACATCTTTAAACCACGTTAAAATCAAACATGCTCCAGAAAAAGTTTAAATCTTTTTGTTCATTCCTTCAATAAAGA